CCCGCTGCAGTTTGGAGTTGGCAACCACGAACCCGCCGCAGATTTGCAGTTGCGATCGCAAAACCGCCGCAGATTTATTATTGCGCTTGCAAACCCGCTGCAGATTTGCGTTTACGGCCACGAAACCGCTGCCGAATCGCAGCTGCAGTCGCGAGATCCCCGCGGATTCGCCGCCGCAGTCCCAAGAGCGCTGCGGATTTAGAGCTGCAACCACAAAACTGCTGCGAATTTGCAGTTTGCGGGTCTCCAGCTGCAATCACAAAGCTGCTGCATGTTCGTGGTCGCAACTAGGAGACTGCTGCTCCGTAAATTTGGAGCGAGTTTGGGATGGCAGGCGCAAATTTGCAGTGGTGGTCGTGAGACCGCTGGAAATTCACAGTTGCGATGGCACAAGCACTGCAACCTTGCAGCTGCGATCGCACGAGTGCTGCAGATCTGTGCTTGCGCTCACAAAACCCCCGCAAATCTGCAGTTACGATCGCAAACCTGCTGATTTACAGTCGCAACCGCAAGGCTGCCGCGATTACGATTGCAAAACGGCTGCAAACTGGTGTTTGCCATCGCAAAATCGCCGCTTATTTGCAGTTGCGACCATCTGCAACCGTCGCAGGTTGGTTTGCCATCGCAAAACCTCTACAAATGTGTTCACCAGCGCAAAACTCCTCCAAACTTGTCTGCCATCCCAAACCCGCTCCAAACTTGTTTGCCTTTTCAAAACTGCTCCAAATTTGCGCCTGTGATCCCAAAACCACTCCAAACTTGCATCTGCAATCCCAAACCCGCTCCAAATTTGCGCCTGCGACCCCAAACCCACTCCAAATTGGCATCTGCCGTCCCAAACTCGCTCCAAATTTGTGCCTGCAATCCCAAACCCGCTCCAAATTGGCGTCTGCCGTCCCAAACCCGCTCCAAATTTGTGCCTGCGATCCCAAATCCGCTCCAAATTGATGTCTGCGATACCAAACCCACTGCAAAATTGTGTCTGCTGTCCTAAACACGCTTTAAATTTGTGCCTGCGATCCCAAACCCGCTCCAAATTAGCGTCGGCCATCCCAAACCTGCTCCAAATCTGCGTCTGCCATCCCAAACCCTCTCCAAATCTGTGTCTGCCATCCCAAACCTGCTCCAAATCTTCATCTGCGATCCCAAACCCGCTCCAAATTTGGATCTGCGATCACAAGAGCGCTGCAGACTCACAGCAGCAATCCC